CCCAAGCTCAATACAACGACCCAAGCTCAATACAACGACCCAAGCTCAATACAACGACCCAAGCTCAATACAACGACCCAAGCTCAATACAACGACCCAAGCTCAATACAACGACCCAAGCTCAATACATTAGGAATTAAAACAACATCCTAAACTGGTTCTCGAACCAGTTGGAGGACAGAGGACATGTCGTGACCTCCAGTAACACGCGGTCATCACTCCGTCACAGCTGTTACGCCCGAGGACTACAGGGGTCAGTGTTGTGACCTCCCCCCCCCCTTCTCCCCACGCCCCCCATCGCCCCCCCCCAATCGCCCCCTATCCTCCCTGCTCCCCGGTGCTTCACCTGGAATGTTTAGACAGTGGGCAAAGGCGCACATTTTGCTGATGACACTTCACACCTGGCAGGTATAAGACCACAACATCCCTGCCGGTAAATATAGCACAGGGGGATCTAAACCGATGGCTCGTAGCCTGTAAACCCAGAGTTTACTGGCTACAGTAAATATTGGCATTTGTATATCATATACAATTAGTGTATATGCTACATAGCCACCGGAACGTTCTTTTGCATGTCTTAGAAATAAATTATTGTAATTATTGTTATCAAGACTTACTTTATGATACTGCGCAGACGCGCGAAAGTTGTTTACCGGGAAGAGCTGAACGATTAGCGACACACCTGTAACGACAGCCTGCCCCACACACCTGGTTCTCGCTGCCCTCCCACACACCTGGGGCCAGATTCACGAAAGCACTTACGCAAGCACTTAGGAACCTGTACATCTTTCCTCAATCTTTGACGGCTTTGGTTACATTTATTAAACAGTTTACAAGCATGAAAACTTGCCATTCAACTGTTGTTATTGTTATAAACAGCCTCCTGGTGTTTCGGAGCTCATTAAATGTTTAATAATTGTAGACAAAGTCGCCAAAGATTGAGAAAAGATGTACAGGATCGTAAGTGCTTGTGTAAGTGCTTTCGTGAATCTGGCCCTTGGTCCTCGCTGGAGGGTGAGGTGAGCAGCAGAGCTGGAGGCCTCGTCTGGTCCACCTGCAGGAAGAGTAGTCACAATGGGCGCTGTGTTTTACAACTTTAGAGAAAACCTGTGGTGTTGAACTCGTAATTTTGGGTGTGTGTGGGGTGGTCCGGCCCGCCCTCACTCCCTGTGTGGGGTGGTCCGGCCCGCCCTCACTCCCTGTGTGGGGTGGTCCGGCCCGCCCTCACTCCCTGTGTGGGGTGGTCCGGCCCGCCCTCACTCCCTGTGTGGGGTGGTCCGGCCCGCCCTCACTCCCTGTGTGGGGTGGTCCGGCCCGCCCTCACTCCCTGTGTGGGGTGGTCCGGCCCGCCCTCACTCCCTGTGTGGGGTGGTCCGGCCCGCCCTCACTCCCTGTGTGGGGTGGTCCGGCCCGCCCTCACTCCCTGTGTGGGGTGGTCCGGCCCGCCCTCACTCCCTGTGTGGGGTGGTCCGGCCCGCCCTCACTCCCTGTGTGGGGTGGTCCGGCCCGCCCTCACTCCCTGTGTGGGGTGGTCCGGCCCGCCCTCACTCCCTGTGTGGGGTGGTCCGGCCCGCCCTCACTCCCTGTGCTGTGATTCACTCCGGCTAAACGTATGTTTCAAGATCAATTGTCAAGACCAATAAGAAAGTTGTAAGTATAATATAGTTATGGAAGTCCAGAACAGATGGGACCACACTATGCCCGCCACTGACGGGTGGGGCCACACAATGGCCACCACTGACCCGTGGGGCCACACAATGGCCACCACTGACAGGTGGGGCCACACTGAACAGCTCTATACAGCACCAACAAACGATTTAACTTCCGTCACAGCATTAAACAATCCTTTTCACTCTGTTTACAAGCGTCTAACCAACTTTACATTCACCTCAAATAACACGAGAGTGGATACTTTACACCAGTTGTCAGATCCACCCTGTCACACCCACTTGGCTCCTCCACACACCGAACTGCTCCTCTGCTTCCAAACTGTCTCTCAACCTTCGTAATATAAAAATACTTTCCTTCTTCAACCAAACACAAACAAGGGTTTATATCACAGTTACACAGTCTAAATACAACAGATTGCCAAAATCTGTTGACGACCCTAATAACGTATAAGCAAATGCATGTTATTTAGGGGTCACATTACGTTAGTGAAATGACATAACAAGCCAACTTAGCCATATTAATTGGACTCCACCCTCACAGTAGGAGACATCTACCGTTGTCGCAAACACCTGTATGCCTTCACAACACCTGTACGCCTTCACAACACCTGTACGCCTTCACAACACCTGTACGCCTTCACAACACCTGTACGCCTTCACAACACCTGTACGCCTTCACAACACCTGTACGCCTTCACAACACCTGTACGCCTTCACAACACCTGTACGCCTTCACAACACCTGTATTTCCGACAGCGGCTGTGGACTCCTGTAGGGAACCTTCCATGTAAATATATTGACAGAGGAAGCGCTCAATGACCAGAGCATGAATATGACTTAAATTAAAGCATTGTACTCTGCTTCATAACGACGCATGGAATGGTCTGTTATCATCATCTTGGGTAGGAAGGGAGGGAGGGAGGGAGGGAGGGAGGGATAGTAATATGGGAAGGGATGAACTACCATGGTGCAGGGAAGGCGTTGGTCTTTCCTCTCTCGGTTCTCTGTATCTTAAAGCATTGCGACAGTTTTATATTGGACTTTATATGCAATAATAATCCTGCTTTAATTACTTTATCAGTGTGTTTGCTGTACCAATGGATGTATTAAATATGCATTTATGTAACTACGGATTTAACTACTGTATCTTATTATTTTTTATATTTTGTATAATAAATTAATGTTAATAAAATTATTACCAGTATTATTATTGAGAAAATCAGCAAGGTGATGAGAATTTAAGAGTTTGGCAATCACGATTCACTGATATTTGATCCAACATTATATTTAACCGCATTGTTCTGCGTAATATCTTTTTCTGCGTTGTTCTTACGGCAAAGAAATAAAATTAGCAAAAGTTTTGCTCCTTAGCTTTGGAAACTATGTCATTTTCGCCCTGCTTCTCATTCTATGTAATTTGTGCATATTTATTCTGTGTTGCCCAGTTCTTCTCGCTTCTTTTTCTCCTGTGTATTGTTTTGGTGAATTGTTCGATCTTACTTATCTTATGGTTTTAGGTTCACTAGTGTGGTGTTGGGCTCGGGTCGTTGGGCTTTGGTTGTTCTGTACTCACGGGTCGTACTCACGAGTCGTACTCACGAGTCGTACTCACGTGTCGTACTCACGTGTCGTATTCATGGGTCGTACTCACGAGTCGTACTCACGTGTCGTATTCACGTGTCGTATTCACGTGTCGTACTCACGAGTCGTACTCACGTGTCGTACTCACGGGTCGTACTCACGAGTCGTATTCACGAGTCGTACTCACGAGTCGTATTCACGAGTCGTACTCACGAGTCGTACTCACGTGTCGTACTTACGAGTCGTATTCACGAGTCGTACTCACGAGTCGTACTCACGTGTCGTACTCACGGGTCGTACTCACGGGTCGTATTCACGAGTCGTACTCACGAGTCGTACTCACGTGTCGTACTCACGTGTCGTACTCACGTGTCGTATTCACGTGTCGTACTCACGTGTCGTATTCACGAGTTGCACTCACGTGTCGTACTCACGTGTCGTATTTACGTGTCGTACTCACGTGTCGTATTCACGAGTCGTACTCACGGGTCGTATTCACGAGTCGTACTCACGGGTCGTATTCACGAGTCGTACTCACGAGTCGTACTCACGTGTCGTACTCACGTGTCGTACTCACGTGTCGTATTCACGTGTCGTACTCACGTGTCGTATTCACGAGTTGCACTCACGTGTCGTACTCACGTGTCGTATTTACGTGTCGTACTCACGTGTCGTATTCACGAGTCGTACTCACGGGTCGTATTCACGAGTCGTACTCACGGGTCGTATTCACGAGTCGTACTCACGTGTCGTATTCACGAGTCGTACTCACGTGTCGTATTCACGTGTCGTACTCACGTGTCGTATTCACGAGTTGCACTCACGTGTCGTACTCACGTGTCGTATTTACGTGTCGTACTCACGAGTCGTACTCACGAGTCGTACTCACGTGTCGTACTCACGAGTCGTACTCACGTGTCGTACTCACGTGTCGTACTCACGTGTCGTACTCACGTGTCACATTTGTGTCCTTTTCTTGCAGGTTGGACTGTTGTTTCGCTTTTCTATATATTACACTCCTCTGTTGCATTCATGTGTCGCATTGATGTTCCTCACTGCTTCCGTTGCGGTTCATTCTGACCTCATGAGTTGCACTCTAATATGGTGTGTTGCACTCTGCACTCGTATGTTGCACTCTGCACTCGTATGTTGCACTCTGCACTCGTATGTTGCACTCTGCACTCGTATGTTGCACTCTGCACTCGTATGTTGCACTCTGCACTCGTATGTTGCACTCTGCACTCGTATGTTGCACTCTGCACTCGTATCGGGGTACTGGCAAGCGATCGCCACCTCGGGTCCGTAGCCACCACAGGGATTCGACTCCCCCCCTCCACCTGCTCACTCCCCACCTACACACTCATCTCACTCTCCCCCACTTACATTCTTCCCTCCTCCTCCTCCACCTCCATATTTCTTCTCACCTCTCTCTCTCTCTCCGCACTCTCACCCTCACTCTGGCGACACTGGTGGCATCGCCCATTAAGGCCCTCTGGAGTGTCAATGGACAGAGATGGTGGATTAAGTTATCAGTTGTGTGTCCCTGGTCTTGTGCAAACACCTGACGCCCTGCCTGGTCACCTTCCTCGATGGTAGCCCGAGGGATTGTTGTCCAGAATATTTAAATAGGATTCAAGCGTGTGCAATCTGTATTGCTGGCTTGTAGGTCTAGCCATCACCCTCTCTTACACGAGTATCTTCGTGCAAAGGGATTGGGTGACTTGGTCGACAGGGAAAAGCAAAAATACGTTTGTAATAAGCTTTTATTTAAATTATTTTGTTCATACATTTACAGAGGGATAGTATGTCTTTAATAAATTACCTAAAAATAGTAAAATATTGTTTTTATAAATAAGGTCATTTGGGATGAAAAGGAGACGTCATGATTTGAGAAGACACGAGGCCGCTGGAATGTCTTCATCACTGTGTTTTGCCCTCGCGGGCCAGACGTTCCCTCTCGGCCTCGGCGAAGGCGATCTGGTCGAGGACGAACTGGGGGATGGGGTGGGGGAACTCCGGGGCCACGGGCAGCAGGTCGGACTCGGGCTGGTAGCCGTTCTCGTCAGCCACGAACTTGAGGAAAGCAATACTACCGTCCTCCAAGGGGTAGCTGTGGGAGAGGGAGAGAGTTAGCTCAAGTGTCTCGTCAGGTCTTAAGGTACATATGCATGATACAACATAGAATAATGAGACACGACGCTGGACAACTTCCTGTACTCACCTCCAGTGGCCGATGCTGTTTTCTCCGCCATTCTCGCCCAGATTACCGGACACGTGCATCTTGATGCCGTTCTCAGCCTCGAAGTCGAAGCTGTGAGCGCCGTTCGCGCCTGGGTGATGCTGCTCGCTGTGAACGATGCCCACGAGAGGGCCATCGAGGGGCGCCTTGTCGGCCATGGCCCCAGCCACCAGCACAGCCATTGTCACCGTCTGAAATAAGCAATCACAACTTCCAGTGTTTGTAACACAGTAAAGCATCTCCGAAGCACCCAAGGACTGGAAAGACAGTTCTCTTTTTGTGTGGCTATTTTCCAATATACTTACCATTTAGAATTCATCTAATATTGATACTTAACTTGTGATACACTTAAGATGTTCTAACATAATATAATGTGAGCTAACCGACCCTAGCTTGTCCTAACGTACCTGACTTAGTCTAACCTAACTTAACGTATCTTAAACCGAACCTAACTTAACCTATATATAAATGTACACAACTGATATATCTTAGCCATAAGTCTGGACAAAACCATACCAACACTGGCTCCTAGTATACTCTATTCCTCATATGATTTCATGCAGAATTTAACACTCCAATTTCTGCTTCTAATAACGAATGCTCTTGAGCTGGTTTGTTATCAATGTGTCTCAACACTAAGCATTACGGGCTATTCATGCCCGTGCCACCTCTTGGGTGGCTTAATCTTCATCAATCAATCAACACTGAGCATGTAGAGAAGAAGAAAAGGTTGTCGAGGAACTCCAGCACAAGTGCCAACAGACCTCCCGGCACTCACTCCTAACCACATTAACCTGACATGGCCCCCAGTGTGGTGGCCTCAAGTAGGGGGACACACACACCGTGAAGAAGGCGACACCAAGACTATACTCACCAGTATCATCCTGAGGACTCCTCGGCAAGCACTCACAAACTGCGCCGGTGACAGGTCAACTGCACTCTTTTATATCTCTGTGCTCAAGGTGTCAAGGAGGCAGTGCCAGTGGAGGTAGAGTGAGGGGGTGAGAAGGGAGGGAGGGGGGTAGGGAGTGGTGTTGGGGAAGGAGGGAGGCAGAGAGAGGCTTGGAGGAGGGGGGGAGGGAGGGAGACGGAACATTGGTAGGGGGGGATTGTAGGAGGAAGGAACTAGGGAAGGTGATTGTAATACTGGGGCTTTTACAATCCTAGAGTAGGAGACGAGGGCTAGATAGAGGGATCGGAAGGAACGTCGAGGTAGCCATGAAGAAGGTCACGGAGCGTTGGGCGGCGACCCACTTTGAGCGAAGGATTTTTTCCTTCGGCCTCGCCATTGAGGGCTAAGGAGGGGGGAAAGTGGTCCTGGTTTTTTGAGTGTGTATATAAGGAGGGATGTGAGGCAGGGAGTTCTGCACTCTACCGCGAGGTTGGCTGGCTCTCTCTCTCTCTCTCTCTCTCTCTCTCTCTCTCTCTCTCTCTCTCTCTCTCTCTCTCTCTCTCTCTCGTCTTCCACCACTTGTGTGCTGACGTAATCTTCTGGTGGTGGCTGACGAGGGCTCCTGATGGGGGCTGACGAGGGCTCATGGTGGGGGCTGACAAAGGCTCCTGGTGGTGGCTGACAAAGGCTCCTGGTGGTGGCTGACGAGGGCGCCTGGTGGGGGCTGACGAGGGCTCCTGGTGGGGGCTGACAAAGGCTCCTGGTGGTGGCTGACGAGGGCGCCTGGTGGGGGCTGACGAGGGCTCCTGGTGGTGGCTGACAAAGGCTCCTGGTGGTGGCTGACGAGGGCGCCTGGTGGGGGCTGACGAGGGCTCCTGGTGGGGGCTGACAAAGGCTCCTGGTGGGGGCTGACGAGGGCCCCTGGTGGCGGCTGACAAAGGCTCCTAGTGGTGGCTGACGAGGGCCCCTGGTGGTGGCTGACGAGGGCTCCTGGTGATGGCTGACAAAGGCTCCTGGTGGTGGCTGACGAGGGCCCCTGGTGGCGGCTGACAAAGGCTCCTAGTGGTGGCTGACGAGGGCTCCTAGTGGTGGCTGACGAGGGCCCCTGGTGGTGGCTGACAAAGGCTCCTGGTGGGGGCTGACGAGGGCCCCTGGTGGTGGCTCATGGTAAACCTGACGCTACTAATATTTCCCCTGGAACACGACTCGCCAATCAATTAACAACTACGTCCTCAATTTGTGTGGAGTGAACAGGGGAGAGTAGTTAATTTTTAGTGCCCAGTCAATCCTCCCCGGGTTACGCAGGTCGAGGGAGCGTGTGTGTATGCACTAACTACTTATCACCGCCAGGATTCATCCCACAACACTTCTACCTATTTAGTGCAAAGTGAATAGAAGCGTCAGGGGAAAGGCTTGCTCTCTCTCTCTCTCTCTCTTTCTCTCTCTCTCTCTCTCTCCCCCTTTCTCTCTCCTGACCGGTATTAACCTTTTATCGTTCAGATTCATTTAAATGTTCGAGTTCCTCTCTCGCTTTGAAACAGTTCTCGTAAAAGTTGGTTATTGTCCAGTCGTTAGAGAGAGCGAGATAGAGAGAGAGAGAGATTATGGGTTGGATCAGGTGAGAAAGTTCATGGGGAAACCCTTTGGACTCCTGGACCTTGCTACAGTAACGCTTCTCATCATTGGGAACGTTAAACACCACCAGCTCCCATTAACCTGGGGTAGACCTAGCCATTGGTCTATACTTGAGCACAAGCGTGACGCAACTGTCTTGTTTCCTCTGGTCAGCGAGGGCGGCCGTCCTCCGTCGCCGTCACCTGCGCCGACTGCCGTATTAGCATCGCTGACTTGTGTTGAAGATATGATTTCAATCACGCAGAAACGACCAAGCTTGGTGGTCTATAGCAGGGTAACCCAGGCTACGGTGTAGGGCAAGACCAGGTACCATTCAGAGCGACCGCCTACCTACCTACCAGGAAGGGTCTCTCCAGATCCCACTGGCAAGTCTTCCTTAGCGACCTTCAGGAGAAGGGTTTAACGATCAAGATGGTATTGAGTGTGTGTGTGTGTGTGTATGTGTGTGTGTGTGTGTGTGTGTGTGTGTGTGTGTGTGTGTGTGTGTGTGTGTACTCACCTAATTGTGCTTGCGGGGGTTGAGCTTTGGCTCTTTGGTCCCGCCAAAGTGTGTGTGTGTGTGTGTGTGTGTGTGTGTGTGTGTGTGTGTGTGTGTGTCAGAGAGCCACCTAGACGCGCGTGCGAGGCGGTGCAAGGTGACACTGGCCTGGACTGACCCCGTTATACCTGCCTCTTCCACCACTACCACCACCACACACTTCTGGCCCCCCAGCACACCCCACTGGGCACCCACCTTACCCACTACCACAACATACCCTCCCACTTCCGAATGCCCCAAACCTGTCCACTTCTTTCCACAGTTATCCACGACTATCCGGCCCCACTGAGGTAGAGACGAGAGTACAGTACACAGAAGTACTGTATTAGGAACGGGAAGAATATATAGTAACTGAACAGTCAGACTTGACTCCTCTGAACGAATTTAAGAAAGTTATGACTTTTGAACACCTAGCAAAGTCGAGTTACACGTAATGCTGCCAAGATGTGTAATTTAGTCACGTTGTCAGGTCATTCAGTTTCAGTTGAGGCAATAAAGTGTATCTCTGAGGGATAGAGACTATTGCTATCCTTCTGTACCAATCTCGCCAGGGACACATTACTCACCAGTCCTCTACAGTGACACATTACCCAACAGTTCTATAGATCTCCAAATTTGTTTGCTTGATGGGGTTCTGGGAGTTCTTCTACTCCCTAACACCGTTTAAATATATCTTTACCCTAAAGCTATCTTTACCATGAAATAAAATATGATTTTCATATATGATTGGAGTCACGTTATTTGAGCATCTCTCGGATGCTCTCCTATTCATTAATATATTAAATAGGTGGGACTTAACACTTTTCCTTGAGGCGTACCGAGCTCGAAACACCTTCCAGGTAACTTACAATCTTAATTGATACCACACCTGAGATTTTTATTTCGTGAAGATATTCCCCAATTGAGTCTACTAGTATTCCTTTAACGCCCAAACTTCCTAGTTCATATAAGATGACTTCTTTGTTCATCTTAGTGAACGCTCTTAATAAATCTTTAAATCCTCGACACTTGTCATGGTCACTAGACAAACATTTTATAATACAATGTCATTTTTCATTTGAGGAATCCAAACCGATTACTGGACAGCTGATCTGCCTAGTATGGAAGTTTGTATATAATTATCCTCTCCATCAGTTTACCAGTTTACAAAAACATGAGGTTAAGGATACAGGTCTGTACTCTCCATTGGCTTTACGGGTAGGAATGACCATTATAATATTTCTTCATAGCGTGAGAATCCTACTGTTAAATGGTTTTAACAATGGGGTTTTATCCATATCAAATACATCGTTAAGTATCTCATGTTACTCACTCATTCTAGGGACGGAAAGCTGCCGTTATTCTCAACATTCTCTACAAAGTTCTGCAAATACTTACTCTTTAAACTGTCTTATCTCCCGCACAACCGAGCAACCATCACCAAGGCTTCCTTCCCTTCCTCTCTCCTATCATTCTTACGCCGCTTCCTGCGAGCTCTCCTCATTCTCAGCAAGTTTCTTATACCAGATGCATTTTTGATTTATTAATGTGTAAAATTAAAAAAAGAGTTCGCATGCAGACGAGGAGTCGCAATAACGTGGTTAAAGTATGTTGACCAGACCACACACTAGAAGGTGAAGGAACGACGACGTTTCGGTCCGTCCTGGACCATTCTCAAGTCTCTAAAAAGAGTTCGTGCAATGGGTGTTCACCGCTTATAAATACAGTACCATCAACTAATGGGACCAACACATCTCTAATTTCTCCTAGTCTCAATTCTTCCTGTTTTCCTGCGAAAACATACATTCATTCATTTTCACTAATTTTAATTGTGTTTGAAGTGCAAATTGGCCTCTTACCTATTCCTTGGGAAGTATAACGAGACCCTTCCGTCTCTAGTACTGATAAAACAGGTATATTCACTCTCTCTCCCAGAGCATCAGTACAGAAATTGAACGCCTGTGGTCCTGTAGAAAGTGATGCCTCGTCAACCATAAATATTTTTTTTCCGCTTGAACCTAAAGTTGTATGTGTGGCATTAAAGTCTTCTATCATAAGTGTATTTTGCGAGAAGATGCATTTGTTCATTTATTATGCACTCCTTACCCATCCTGAGAGTGGTAGTGGATCCCTTACCCATCCTGAGAGTGGTAGTGGATCCCTTACCCATCCTGAGAGTGGTAGTGGATCCCTTACCCATCCTGAGAGTGGTAGAGAAGGTTACAGAGGTATTTAATAGGCCCAAGAACTGAATCTATGGAAAAGGAAGGTGTCTGTCAGATATACTAAATCAAAGGCTTTATCAGATACATGTAAACATTTAATATACGACAAACGACCCAGGGGCACACTGGCCTGACATACGACCCGACAGTCAGGCTAGAGACGTGAACGGTTCTTTGTAATGTAAACTTAGACTCGTGAACCCAGGCGATAACATGTGTTATCCAGAACCTCTTCGGTCGAAGGTAGAATGTTTTACCCATCTTCGATGTAAACACTCATCATAACCTGTCCCATTTTAACTCATTACGGTGAGTTGAAAGGTCTTCACTGTGGTTTCCCATATATAATCATCCCCTCCCCCGCTCGCTCTATCTCTCATACTAAGTGCATACCGAGAGATAAACTTATTTAAGTGTTGCGAGAAATCTGTTTAACAGATTAATTTCTAATCTCTGTTTAATTGGCTCGATGTTGATTTCATAATTGCTTTTATGTTAATCAAACTCTTGCTAATTGACAATTATTTTTAAGCTGAATTATTACGTTTACGATCTGTCATTATTGTAGATTTATTGCAGTATTTGTTTATTGACCGTTTGGTTACAAATTATTAACTTGCTTCATCAGCTTGTGTGATGCTTGGCCGTCGACGCCTGCTCTCACCAGTACACATTGTGATACACT